TTCAATTGATTGAATTCCGTTAGAACTGATAGCGGTGCAACGTTGATCAAATTATTCATGAACATGTTTTATCAAACGAGAGTCAAGACATTTTGTCATGTCTTTGTATATTTTTATGCAATGTTGTAGAATGATATTGTTTCAAATATATTATACAGATAATGATAATAAACAAATTTATATGCCATAAGCGGTGTCTTATTTTATCTTGGCCACGATATCACCTGGAGTCCGTTTAGTATGGTGCGTTTATGATACCATTCACTACATGTACGAATCGTAAAGTATTTTATCTGATTCACTATTCTTTTCGTGTTTTAAGTCTATAATAAATGAGTCAGCCAAGGGGGACTATAATTATAACGAAAGAATACTGTCATTTATTACACACAAAAAATGGTACACTGGTACAAAGAAAACAGGGATAAAGAGACAGAAATTTTTGTCCTCACGAAGACTATATAAAGTAGCACCATCTATTGGCGACTCACTGAAGTACACCTAAGAAGTTCCTAAATTAATTCAGGCAATCGCCGATAAAGTGCACCATCTGTAATAACAGTAGGAATCTACCCGTTTTGGTTCCACGCTAGCATATACAAGAACCTATTTGGTTCCACGTTAGGATATACAAGAATCTTCAGTATCACAAGAGCGGAAATGAGTGTTCACGCCCGAACGAAGAGTAGTTGGCGCGGAATATTAGTATTTCTTAACAATTTTCATCTTAAAAAATTGCTCCCAACTATTATATTTAATGAGATATTTGAAAATGAAAAAATAAAAATTTGTTATAATAGACTACTATTACGATGTGATGAAGAAGGTCGGAGCGGGCGAACGGGAGAGAGCGAGAGCGGTACAGCGAGCCGCGGTATCGGTGCTCTCCGTCGGTGTTGGAGGAATTTCAGGGGTCTATGGAGGGAGGTGTGCGAGCGAGAGAGTACGGTAGAGCGTGCCGAGTATCGGTGCTCTCCGTCGATCCAACGCGCTAGTGAGTTGCGTCACCCAGTTTATTGACTTAGCCGTGTACGCCGTGTACCAAGGTCGTACCATCCCGTGCAGGTCTGTGCTTGCTTCCTCACTTTGTCGTGAACCGTCGCGGAGGGTGGTCGCGCGTCTCATACTCGTCCTTTCTCTTGTTACTAACCCATTGTTTGTTGCAGGCATTCGACAACCATCAATTTATTTACTGTGCATATTATTAATCTATTTACTGTGCATATTGTTGTGTCCCCTCTCTTGTTACTAATCCCTTGTATGTTACAGATGTTCGAGGACCATTGGCTTCGATATTTATCTTCTTATGTACTGTGATTCATTTATTGTGATTTATTTACTGTGATTTCTTTACTGTGATTTATTTACTCTGCATATTATTAATCTATCTGTCTGTTGTGTCCCCTCTCTTGTTACTAATCCCTTGTATGTTACAGATGTTCGAGAACCATTG